GCTTTCTGTCTTTGTGGGAGCAGAAAGCCTCTTCGTTGTCCCTCAGAGCAGCTAATGGGCTCAAACTGCCAACCTTGTGGAATGGGTAAAGGAGGTAAAAGTCACTGTTTTCAGAAAGCACTGCCCATTGACTCGTAAGTAAATACACAGTAACAGAAACCAATTTAAAAAGTCACGGCATTAACCATTTAAATGTCTAAATTTCTCCAGCCTGTTAACTATCCACTTTGAATTTGGGGAATTAATAACGAAAGTTACTTGTATGTTACATACCCTAAAGTTGCTGTATTATTATTGGACAATCTGATTACTCCAGTCAGTGTCAAGTATATATCCCTTACAAATCTTTGCTTTTCCCTCTAGTTACTATTTTTTCTTTTTCAGTGAGGATATGTTTTTCAATGTCCATTTAACAAATATTTACTAGGACGGCTACAGCCATACCACCCTGAATGCACCTGATCTCTCATCTGATCTCAAGCTAAGCAGGGCAGGCCTGGTTAAGCAGGGTGGGAGATCACCTAGGAATACCAGGTGCTGTAGGCTTTAGGAGTCCTGGTGTGGCTCTGTAGGATAAGCACTTGATTGGCTGTTTGAAGCATAAATCAGCGGTTCAAATTCACCAGCCTCTCCTTTGAAACCCTAAACAGGGCTACTATGAGTCACTGTTAAATGCATTGACAGCAACAGTGAAGCCAACAAGAGTCCTGCAGGAAAAGCACTGGATCACAAGGTTGGTGGTTCAAACTCACCAGCCACTCCTTAGAAACCCTTTACAGGGTCACTATACTATACGTTAAAACGGACTCTCCAGCACTTGACAACAATGAAGCCAAAGAGTACAGGGGAAAACCACGCATTAGGTCAGTCCTGTCCTCCAGAAGATGTGGGGGGTGGGAGGGAAATACCACAGGGCATAGAAACACGCTGCTCTGGTTTTTCATAGAGAGTGGTGTGAAGAGCTGACCTTAAAGCACAAATTGAGTTCTAACAGATCTGAGGAAAAGAGGAGAAACCAGCTAGAAAAAGGTAGGTTAGACCCATGTTACGGAAGCCTTAAGTGTCAGGCTGAGGAGTTTTTGATTAGATGACAGCTCTGAAGAGCTTGAGCCATGAAAGATCTTAGTTTGAACTTTAATTTAGGAGTGTTGGTCTGATCCTGGTATGCAGGATGGTTTGGGTGTTTTCAGACCCAAGGCCTAATGTGCCAGTTGAATGGAAAGGAAGGCAGATATGAAGAACTATAGAAATAGGCTATGGAACTTGGTATTTTGACTGTGACTTGGGTTAAAAATGGTACTTCTAGGATTCTGATCGTGGACTGGTTTGAGATAAGGAGGTGAAGTAGGTGAAAAAGAGGCATTTGGTGTGTAGCGTTTGAGATGCCAGAAGACCATCCAAGTGGAAAGATAATCACCAGACAGTAGGAAATGCACAGTTGAAGCTTGAGCCAGGGCTCTAGTCATTGATTCTGGAGCTGTCTAAATATAGTTCAAGCTATACAAGTGACTTAAAACCCTGAGGAGGGATTATATGGAGAAAAAATAATGAAAAGGATAACCTCAAGAAACAAATAGTTTAGGGATTGTTTTTTTTTTTCCTTTAAAAGAAAAAAAATCAATTGATGCTAACGGGATAAGGTGGTTACCATCTGGGATTTAATTGCACACACTATAAAAAAGCTGAAGATTACTAATAGATTCTAAAAAGTGATGATGCCCAAGGTTATTTGGATCCTGGTCTAAACAATGCCTGAATGAGCATTGGCTTTCATAATTTAGCATTCCATAACAGTAGCTATTGATGTTCCAGTGGAGGTCTGGAGTCCTGGTGTTGGGTAAACACTGGATTGCTAACGTTCCTCAGAAACCCTATACAGAGTTGCTATAAGTCAGAACCGACTTAACGGCAACAGTAGCAACATGGAGGTCTAATTTTGCCGTTGATTTCTTAAGAAATTGTAAGGCAGAGCTAGTTTTACAATTATGAGGGAACCGTTTACATTTGAAACACTGCAGCATTAATTTTGACTTGAGAGTTTTTTTATTTGTAAGCATTATTTTTTATTGTGAATTATGTGATTGTTTACATGGGAGAACATTAGTTTACATTCATCCTATAGTATGTCCGTGTCATTACTATGGTTACAATCCCCTCCATGCATCATCAGCCAACCACAGGTTATATACCCTGTAAGCCTGACCCCACCCCCAGTCTTCAGCACACAACCCCTCTCCCTCTCCCTCTCTAGGTCTAAAGTCCCCAGCCGCTCCATCTCACCACATCATCCTCTCTGCCTCCATCTCTGGTGTCCAGAGTATTTCTTTTATACTCAAGGTTTACCAACTTAATTCCTTTTTCTCCAAGGAGTTTAATATATATTGACTGTTATACTCTTAACAACAACAACATTAAAGGGTCTTGACAGAGATGTTAGAGAGTTTCAGGTAACTCCATACCCTCAGTTTACAAATATGAGGAACACATTCTAAAAGTTTGCTTCCAAACCTATAGCACATTGCCCTTTTTGAGTCCTACAGTTTGAAGTTATTTTCCAGAAGAAGAGAACATGCAATTATATTGCTCTCCCCACTTCTCCCAGGCAAACAAGTAGGAAGTTCGGACAGTTTCATAACATGGCCCATTCACAATTCCCCATTGAAATTTAGAGGCAGGTCACCTTCTATGAATACACAAAGACACTATTGTGGTCAGAAGTGAGCTGGCTTAGTGAACACAATTCTTTTTATACTAAAAAAAATTTTTTCTTACGAAAACTAACAAGTAGGTGATAGAAACAATGATTAAAAATAACTTTTTCTACAACATATAAATAATTTAAAGTACCATTGAAATGTAAGTTTAGAATTGCAAGGCAATTTCAGAAGCGGCAATAGTTGCACAATCATTCTGTTGAAAGCAAAGATTTAGATGGCATTAGGAAGCTGACACACAGTAATTACCAGTAGTACTTGTTGGCTTGTAGACAGGTGGGGGTTGGGCCTCTAGAACCCCCCCACACCCCACACCCCCAACCCCCTTAGCAGCATTTTCCTGTAATCTGGATGAAGGATCTTCAAACGTGTGCTTTCAAACTACTTAAATACCATATTCTCCTTCCTATCTCGCCTTTAGTTTTTTATGTTACCACAGAGACTTTCCCTATAGTCTTGCCAGTGCTTGTAGACTGCTTAGAGAAAGCTCGATAAACCACTGGGCTGAGTACACAAAGGGAGAGCTAGCAATTTAAAAAAAAAAAAAAAAGGGTTTGTAGGTTTTGTAAATGTTTTATAGCTTTACTTGACTTAGGTAAAGTAAATGACACATGAAAAAACATTTGCTTTATTCCAATAATTAGCTGAAAACCAGCCATCAAAAAAAAAGTCCTTAAGTGGTAGATTTTTTTTCTTTCTTTTTTTTTTTTCCCCTCCACTTAATCATGTATCTTTGAGACTCTGAATTCAAAAGAATGTTTGCTTCAAATAATATTTTTAAACCCCTGCCTAGTGCAACAAAGAAGACGACTTTGGGAGAGTGAAAGGCAGAGACTGTTGGGGCTTATCTCTGTCTGACATGGAAAATGGGCCATAAACACAGATAGGCTGTTTCAGATTTTAGCTAAAGAAAGCCTGAGCCGTTCACATTGTATGCACTCAGTTGATACGGATGACAATAATAATTAGATGGTATTGTACAGTCATTCAGTACCTAGTAATGTTCTAGGTACTGATGATTACAAGGGGATTAGGACACAGCCTCTGCTCAGTCTACAGGAGGTGACAGGTTTGTCAACAATAGATTTGAAGTTGCTGAGCAGTTCAAAACCAAACCAAAATCATCTGGTCCTCCTGGAGAAGGAGACCTGTCGCATTAATATCTTTATATCAGTTTCTAGCCTAGTGTCCCGGTGCGAGAGAATTAGAAAGTACTATATGGTAAAGTGGGTAGGTACGGATCTCAAAAAAGGGAAGGGAATCAAACAAATACAGAGGGTTAACATACGATGTCCAAGGTTAGAAAAGAAAAGGACAAAAAAAAAAATTAATTTACCCCATAACAAGGATAACCTTGTTCTAAACCACTGATGTTAATTAATACGTATAAAGAATAATAAAAGTAGTAAAGAGGTTGCAGGGACTCCAGACATGTAATATTTGTTGGGGGGTGGGGAGAGGTGCTTGAAATTTAGGCTCCACTAGATTAAGAGAATTGTATTTTGCCTTTGTAATCCATGCCTTACAGCTAGGCAAGACATGAATTACGAGGTATTTCACAAAGGGGAATGTGAAGAATGTACCTCTGAGTTTGTCTGTAAAAGGGAGAGAGGGAGGATGCTGTTGCCAAGCTTCCACTGAAGCTAGTAATCTTGCAGAACTTGATTTTTAAGGATAATGGACATTAGTGTCTTCATATACAACTGTTTCTTTCTTGAACAAGTAATAACTGGAGAAAGTTGTCTTCCCATGGCCAACCCTGAAATGCAGAATCCAAATAAATGCTAAGCTCTGTGGTAATCAGGTGCTGATACTATGTAAGCTCTTATTTAATTCCAGTATGAAGTTCAATAATTTATGAAATGACCTTTTTCTGTGTGGGAAAAATAAGGCTCGCTTGTGTTTTGTGCCCAGTCCAGCCTTCCTTTGGCACTTCGGTTTAGTAGGAGGTTAGAGAAAGGTTTGTGTGCTTTGGCGTGTGAGTTTGGTTGGTTGTGCAATTGTCAGACTCTGCAAGAAGAGGTCTGCTTTTGCTGGCAGCAGGCTGTTTCTCACTTTGAAGTCATGGATTAATGTTACCAAAAACATTATTTTTCATGAGAAGAATTACATAATGTGAAAATGTAAGAAGTGAGAGTCTACACCTGAATTTTTCTTATTTGGCTTTCCCTTACCATTCTCTAGCACCAGTTACTTATGCTGTAATTTATAGCGTATCCTGACAGAGCGATTTCTGAATTGTTTCCTTGATTCCCTCATCTCTTTTGTCTCCCCCCGCCTTTCTAGGGAATGAAAGCTACTGGTTGACTAAGAATCCTTGGGCTTCATATATTTGGAGTCATCCCAGAATAAGGCACGATGTCAACTGCAGGAGTTGCTGCTCAGGAGATTAGATCCCCATTAAAAACTGGATTTCTACATAATGGCCAGGCCATGGGAACTATGAAGACCTGCTGGGGCAGTCCCAATGAGTTTGAAAAGTAAGTCTGGGATATTTTGGTACTATAATCTGTATACATTTGCGCTGTTAAAATGAAATGGGTTAGATGAATGTTACTTATTTATGACCGAGATTTTTTTTTTTCCTTTTAGTAATTTTTTAAATATTGATCCAATAACCATGGCCTACAGTCTGAATTCTACTGCTCCGGAGCACCTAACATCTATTGGTATGTATTCTGAGTATCTGAGTGAAGCCAAGCATTTGGAGAGGAAGTTGGCAGTCTGGATTAGGATTGGCGTGTCCTCCAGCATTATTTTTTAAATGAGGAAACAACCTGACTGATTTCCAACAATAGTCTGACCCCTAGTGGCAAGAGATTCCGAAGAGACCACGTTTTCCACGAATTGTTGTCCCCCACCACCTTTATTTAGCCTGAGCCATTGAGTTCTACCTAGAATTATTTGAGGGGAAGTGTCAACTTTTAAAATCAAAAATTAAGTTTTAATCCCAGCAGTGATACAGACATTAACTTTTAGAAGCCTTGGACGAAATCTTAAATCTTTCTTACTAATATCACATGCATGTTGGAAAGTGGTGTCTGGAAGTCGTCTAAATGTTCACAAAAGCCAGCAAAGTGAGTTTAGGGTACCGAGTGCATACACTTGAAGGGTTGTGATGGTGTGAGCAGTAAGGACCATGCCTTCGCTCATTCGTGCCCTGCATACCTTGTATTGTCACAGCTTCTAAAATGGCCAGGCCAGCATGGTATGGTGTTCATGGAAATTACATGCTATTCATCTTCTGTGAATTTTGCACACGTCACAAAATTTGCCTGTGATGTGTGGGTGTGCACCATACACATGTCCAAGGGAGATAGAAGAGATCATTTGTTCTTTGAACCCGAACAGGGCTTTAATTACACCTGTGGTTGTTGCCTGGGTGTTCTCAGGTATATGTCAGTCAGGTATTTCGCTGGTAGTTTAAGCAGAAAGATAAAGCCTATACCTCACACAGGTGAGGGGAAGAGTGTTAAACTTTCATCAACATCTCTTATTCATTCTAGGGCACACGTCAAAATCTGCTCCGGTGAATGGGCACTGCTTTGCAGAAAATGGTCCATCTCCAAAGTCCAGCTGGCCTCCTCTCATTATTCCCCCAAGCGAAAACTTGGGACAGCACGAAGAGGACCAAGTTGTATGTGGTTTCAAGAAGCTCTCAGTGAATGGGGTGTGTGCTTCTACTCCTCCGCTTACACCCATAAAGAACTTCCCTTCCCTGTTCCCCTGTGGAGCTCTTTGTGAACGGGGCTCAAGGCCCCTTCCACCACTGCCAATTTCTGAAGACTTCTCCCAGGATGAGACAGACTGTGAGGTAGAATCCCTGACTAGCTCCGATAAAGAGTTCCTTTTAGGAAACTGTACACTTTCCAACTTCAAATATGGTGTTCCGGGCAGGCGAAGCTTCCGGGGGTGTGGACAGATCAATTATGCCTATTTTGATACCCCAACTGTTTCAGCAGCTGAAGATCTCAACCATACACCTGACCAAAATGAATGTATCCAAAATGCAAATCCTCCTCCATCTCAGAGCCACCGAAGACTAAGAAGATCTCATTCCGGACCAGCTGGATCTTTTAACAAGCCAGCCATACGGATATCCAGTTACTTCCACAGAGCTTCTCCTAACTCTGACGAAGACAAACCTGAGGTTCCCCCCAGGGTTCCCATACCTCCTCGGCCAGTAAAGCCAGATTACAGAAGGTGGTCAGCAGAAGTTACTTCTAGTACCTACAGTGATGAAGACAGGCCTCCCAAAGTACCACCAAGAGAACCTTTATCACGGAGTAACTCACGCACACCAAGTCCTAAAAGTCTTCCGTCTTACCTCAATGGGGTCATGCCCCCTACACAGAGCTTTGCCCCTGACCCCAAGTATGTCAGTAGCAAAGCTCTACAAAGACAGAACAGTGAAGGATCTGCCAATAAGGTTCCTTGCATTCTGCCCATTATCGAAAATGGGAAGAAGGTTAGTTCAACACATTATTACCTACTACCTGAGAGACCACCATACCTGGACAAATATGAAAAATTTTTTAGGGAAGCAGAAGAAACAAATGCAGGCACCCAAATCCATGGTGCGCCCTTCCCTGCTGACTGCAGTATCGTTTCGGCCACAGAAAAGCTGGACTCAAAACCAAAAATGGACACAGGTGGCCACGTGAAGCGCAAACATTTATCCTATGTGGTTTCTCCTTAGACTTTGGGGCCAGAATTCAGCAGAGGTTGCGTAGGAGCAAATGGTTCTCAAGCAATATTCCAATTTGACTGAGATTCACAGAAAAATCTCATAGACTGAAGAACAGTCAAACTCGCTGTCTTAAAGAGAAAGGCTTAGAGCAGATGTGAGATGCTGTTAGGTTGAGAATCCCTGATTTAGTATTGGAGAGAAGTCTATTCAAGTCTATAATTTAAAGATGTGATGGAGGGGAGGGAGGGATGGGCAAACTTTTATATATGCATACAATATATACCTATATATAAACTTGTGGTGTAACCATAGACCATAGTTGCAGGTTAACCAATTAGTTACTGTCTTAGAGTAATATATATTCAGAATAATAAAAACTCAAGCTGGAGAAAATGACTTTTGATAGACCGAAAATTGAGGAAATGGAAGAAAATACAGTATTGTTTAGATCAGAATCGTCTAAAAAATTATTTTTGTTTAGTAAGTTGGAAGACCTCTGGCTCTTAGGCCTGTTAGATTTTGTTTCACTTGTTTTTGCAAACAGTCTTTTCCATGGATGGATGGCAGGGTGTCTGTTCTGGACCAGGACTGTACCTGCCTACCAAGTTTAAACATCACCCCAAGGTCTAATACTTCCGGGTTTTGTGTTGTGTTGCATTTTGTTGATACTTAGGGGGTAGCAGTTTATTTGGCAAACCGTGTTATCACATGTACATGTCTCAGTTTGAAAATACGCAAATGGAGTTAGTCAGTTTTCCTTACAGTCCCTGCTGTGTCTCACCCACTGAAATAGCCCATTGCCGTTGTGTCCACTAGACTCAAATGGAAAAGCACGTGTTTGCCAGTGCGGAGAGGTCCATTTTAAGCAACAAGGAAGCAGTCAGCCCTCTGATGGAAGAGTTTTTGTGTGGGGATATGTGTTGTAGAAGTTTCTTGTCTTTTTTTTTTAAAGACTGTATTAATAAATAAATACAACACAAGCTGGCCTTGTGTTGCTGGTTCCTATTCAGTATTTCCTGGAGATTGTTTGCTTTTTTAAGTAAAACACTTCTTCTGACCAATAGCATATAGTAAGTCTTAATACCAGAGGTCACATCAGCATCTTCCTGCGTTTGAAACTCTCCTAGGCGGCTGCTTCACGGCTTCCCTGAGATTTCTTGAGACACCTAGCTTGTGTTCTTATTTCCATGTGCTTTAATGTATTTATCTTGTACAGATATGCACAAAAGAGAGGTGCTCACTAACAGAGTACATTACTACAATGTTCTCTTAACAGTTCCACAAGCTGTTTACAGTTTAAACTGCTGAATGAGAATTTGAGCTATTTAAAGCTTATTATATTTTAGTATGAACTAAATGAAGGTTAAAACATGCTTTAGAAAAATGCACTGATCACTGCATTGTGTGTACAGTATTGGACAAAGGATTTTATTCATTTTGTTGCATTATTTTGAATATTGTCTTTTCATTTTAATAAAGTTACAATACTTATTTATGACACCGTTAACAGTGTTTCTTGATGTCTCAGGTAGTTTGACATATTGACCATTTTTAAATCCAAGGGAAAAGTCTTTGGAGTTTACTATGCACTAAAAATGACAAATAATCTGAGTTGTTTATATTTAAATCATTTAAAACAGTGTAGGTTGGAAATGGGCTCTTTGTATTTCTCTTTTAATGAGAAAAAGCTTGAATTGATTTTGGTAGGTTACTATCAAAACAGTTCATCTGGGATATGAGGTCCCGTTTCAAGGAGAATATAATGGAAGAAACTGACTTGATACACAGACTTGATTTGTCTCAATTGAGTTTTAGGTTGGGCCCTGTGGGAGATTTGATTTCTTTTTGATGAGAGACCACCAAGGAACTCTTACCTTCCCTGGCCTTTTCTGTAGATGGCGAGTCTACAGTGATCCACAGGGGCTTCTAGCAGTCCTCGGATGGATGCTGTTTGTGGGGGCACTTGACCCTGATCTCTTCGCCTCCCTTTGCTCTTCCCCACCTCCATCCATCCTCGCTGCGTTGTTGTATATTTCCCAGTGATGATTTCTGTAGCTCTCTGGACCTTAATTGGGCACGTGCCCTGTCCTGCACGGGCCTGACACTAGAATTAAAAAAGAGGCCTCCAAAATCAGACGGACCTGGGTTGAAAAGGCCACCCTACCTCTTTCTAATTATGTGTTGAGCACATGATTTAAAATCTCTGTACCTCAGTTTTCTCCTTGATAAACAGGGAGGGTGCTACCCCTTGCCATGGTGTCTCCCTCGGCTCTTAACTCTGTAAGAATCTAAGACAGAGCTTAACTGCCCCCTATGGCTTTCAAGGCTGCGATCTTAAACATACTACCACATCTTTCGCCCACAGAGCGGCTGGTAGGTTTGAACCACTGGTTTGCAGTTGAGTGCTTAAATCACCTTGCCACGGGGACTCCTTGCAGGCCATGGTGATAATGTCTATCATGGGTCATTATTTTGTGACAGTTACATATAAGGCACATAACAGGCTAATTGTTAAGAGCCTTCCATTTGACTGTGACTCAGCGACCCTATATAGGGTTTCTGAGGAGCCGCTGGTGGGTTTGAACTGCCAGCCTGTGGTTAGCAGTCCAGTGCTTATCCTACAGTGGCAAATCAGGACTCCAGACCTCCATGGGAACATCAATATCTAAAAGTACAAGATGGCAGACTGTTATGGAATGCAAAACTACGAAAGCCAGTGTTCATCCAGGCATGATTTAGACCAGGATCCAAATAACCTCGGGCATCATCACTTTCTAGAATCCATGATTTAGTCATCTTCAGGCATTCTTACAGTGTGTGCAAGTAAATCCCACAACAGGCTAATAGTGTGAGCCAAATAACATGTTTTTTATGATTGTTAGTCACCCTGAAAATTGGATATTATTTCCAGCATTTTACAGATGAAGAAATTAGGGGAAATACTTAACAGATATTTGAATATCAACCAGATCTTGGAGAATTAGGTACAGCCCCTATCCTTGTGTAATTTGAAGTAGTACGTAATTACAACGTATAATAACTGCTAAAAAGACAAAGAATGACGGAGGGGACCTGATATTCAGTATGATGATCTGAAGGGTTAGTAGCTAAGCCCAAGGGGGGAAGGGGATATGGAAGAGCATATATGAGGCCTTGAGGCTGAGTGTGTTGTGATGGGGCAGGACTGGCCAACAAGCGAGTGATGAAAGCTATCAGATGCTCAGCAAGGGCATAACATGAGCTGAAGGTTTGAAAGAGAACAGATGGAAGAGATGGCAAAATGAAATGGGAAGACTGAACGATGGAAACCCTTATAGTCCAGAGCAGAGATCAAGTGCTTGGCAACAGAGACAGAGGTAGGTGGGTGGCTTTTTGAGGGGTACCGAGTCTATAGAAACAGCAGGCTTGAGGCCACAGTGGAAATCAAAACAACAGCATGTGACTCTAAAGCCAGTGTATGCTTTCCACCCTTGTGACAGAGTGAAGCTCCAGGAACCCGAGAGCAGTTCACATCCCTGTTCTCAGTGCCTGATGCTGCCTGGCACTGGGTGCTCCATAACTGTGTTAATAGAATGTCTGAATGCGGCACTTTCTACTCTCATAGAAAGGAGCTGTTTTCTAGAAGATACACTGCAACTCATATTGCCTCTGTGGTACTGTAGGATAAATACTAGATTACTAACCACAAGGTCAGTGGCTCAAATCCACCAGCTGCTCCTTGGAAACCTTATACAGGGTAACAATGAGTCCAAACTGATTACAGCACTTAGCAGCAACTCCTTCACTACCTTTTCTTTGCATTGTGGTAAAGAATATCTTTCATTACTTGCATTTTTCTCTCCTTGCCTTTGCATTTTTCCTTGGTTTTGCAAGAAAAAATATACTTTAAAAAAAAAAAAATTTTTTTTTTCTTGGCCAAGCAAATATGCCCCACTGTCACGCTAATGTCAAGTGTATAACACTGTTTCCCAATTCTACTTCAAACCAACACAACAAATTGAGTTCTAAACTGTTCTCCTGTGGATGTCATCCCTGGTTCTTCAGACACTCAGCTCTTGTTCAGACAGGTGCAGTGGGCACAAGACTCTATAAGCTGTCTGAGGTATAACTCAAGTAGCAAATGCTAACGGGTTTTTTTGCAAATGCTAACTTATAAGGAAATCAAGGCTCTGGTGCCAGCCTCTCATTTACAGTCTACATGAAGGGCCAACTTCCCTGAGCCTCACTATCCTCGTGAAAGTAAGTGAGGTCACATTAGAACACTCCAAAAACACTAGACAGATTCAACATTGACTCTTACTGTTTCACTTCAGGAAGCAGAAGCTGGAGCCAAGAGGGTTCATTTATAAGTCAATTCAAAATTCAGATAATATTTTCAATTTAAATAAGAACTGCCTTTAGCTAAAAAGATATTTTTTCATTGCTAGAGGTCCTTGTCAAGTAAAGAAGACCACAGCGTCTTCTAGGTGTTGGTGGTGGTTATATGCCATCAAGTCAGTTTTGATTCATAATGACCCGGTGTAGGGTTTCCAAGGCTGTAAATCTTAACTGAAGCAGAAAGCCTTCTCTTTCTTCCATGGAGCAACTGGTAGATTAGAACTGCTGACCTTGCAGTTGGCAGCCCAACTCATAATCTACTACACTACCAAGGCTCTTTAGTGTCTTCTAAAGCAATCCATAAGGAGCTCTGGTAGCGTAGTGATTACAAATCAGGCTGTGAACCACAAGATCAGCAGTTCAAAACTACCAGCCGCGCCGCGGGAGAAAGATGAGGTTTTTTGCTCCTGTAAAGATTTATAGCCTCAGAAACCCTGTACTATGAGTCAGAACCGACTCCACGGCACATAACAACAACAACAACAAAGCAATCCATAATTGAATAGAGAATTATAGTCATACGTATACTGGTTCAATAATTTATAAAATATATGTGCCTAGGAACTCCTGGTGTGTATTGTGGAGCCCTGGTGTGGCACTATGGGTTAATGTGCTGGGCTGCGAGGTCGATT